TTTTTATAGAGTCGAGAACATTTAGGCTGGAAGGCTTCTAGAAATCGGTTAATTATTTTATAGGAGGGGGAAAAAACTGAGGCCCAGACAATGAGCAGCTTACAAAGCGTTTCTCAGTCAGCCGGTGGCCTGACCGGGGTAGAGGCCCGGTCTTCTGAGGGGCAGCTCCTTGTGCTATACTGTCCGCAGAATCTAGCTACGGTTTCTTACACAACTGATGACCACGTGTTCCATGTTTTGGTTCAGTGTGCAGATCACACTGCCTCTGCGGAGTTCCCTGTCAAGGCTTTGCGATGTATGTGAAAATACGGTCCTTGTGGGCAAACTCGGTTAAGCCTGGCATCCAGATCTTCCTGGTGCCAAAGTGAAGAAAATTGGAGGGAGATTTTTCCTCCCATGTTTTTCTCCTTTAGGACAAAAAGTTTCACAGTTATTTCCTCTTCGAGTATCAAGAATCTAGAAACTATACAGAGAGGTTTCTCACTCATTCAGAAGGAAATTGTCTGGACGAGGAGGCCTTGGCAGAAAGACTCCCAAGTCTTAGGTCCTTGACACCTGGGTGGTGTCCTGGCCCATCTTCTCCGCTTTCTATCCCCCTGTTGCTACCTGAGAGCCGACATGTGGTTTCCGTAGTAGATGATTTTGCTTATCAAGGTCGTGATGAACTGACAGATTTATTTCATCTTGAGTCAACCCTCTCACTCAGGGAGAAGGACAGACAGAGAGTAACGTTTCCACGAAAGGCTGGCACATTGCCTCTTGGACATTTTTGCAGAGAGAAACCATGCGACAAAGGACATGTCTCTCTTTTACCAAAACCAGAAATGGCCTAGCGAGAGAGATTTCAGAAGGAAAGCAAAGCATCGTTTTTCACACCTGAACATCTCTAACGTTGGGAAGTGTCTTAAAAGTTGCTGTCGGGTGGGGGTTCGATACTGTTTTTTAGAGTTATTATATGAAACACTGATGTTTCTCTCCGCCAGTGGCCACTTAGAGAAGAAGACACCAGGCGCTTTGATGCATCCTCGTCATCAATGCCTAGCTAAAGCTTTCCTCTCACGTTTCCCTCTTGGAAGTAACCCCTGTGGTTTTAGTAACTGCCATCCATCCAGTCAGTGCTGGCTCACAGCGGCCCCCTGTGGGTTTCCAACACTGTAACTGCTTATGGGAGTTGAAAGCCCAGTCTTTGTCCCAAAGAGCTGCTGGTGGTTTTGAACTGCCGACCTTGAGGTTTACAGCCCAACTCATAACCACGACATCACCAGGGTTCCTAACATAGATGAATGGGATCTTATTATTTTAACGTTACAGGTGCTGCTTTGTGCTGCTGCACTGACCCCTGTGTTACTGCATTTAAACTGACCCCAGGAGTAATTTATGTGACACTACGCAGTGTGCGTCTTCCATTCTTGTGGATAGGGCTCACCACCAGTTCTGACTCACAGTGACTCTCTAGGGGAGAGTAGAACTGGCCCTGTGGGTTTCTGAGGCTGCAGATCTTTACAAGTGCAGAAAGCCTCATCTTTATCCCATGGAGTAGTTGGTGGGTTTGAACTGCTGACTTTAGGCTAGCAGCCCAACTCACTACCCACTATGCTACCAGCAGTGTCTCCCTTGTATAGAGAAATACACTTTTCAGTGAATTCCCTGACTGTCAGACCACAGCACACACGTGAGACACTAGGCAATGGGCGCTGGCCGTGCCTTGGGTGTGTCCAGTAACAGCATGTGTTGGTGGCTAGTGGTGACATTACCTAGGCCAGATCTTCAGTATGGAGAACTTCAGTGTGCAGTGCTGGATCATAGGGCAGGTGACCCATCACCGGGCTCCCTGCCACCGTCTCTGCGTGTGGTTGTGATTCATGCCTGAGCAAGCACCTTGTCAGGTACAGGTGTTCTGTGTGGGAACCTCTCCCTGTAGAACTGGCTTCTTAGGACCAACCAGGAGTTGGCCAGCAAGAGGGCACGTCTTAATGTGTGTGCGTCTTACGTCTCCGAGACCCAACCTCATCTGTGCCTTACTTCCTTTGTCCTGTGGATAAAGGACTTAAAAACCTATTTCCTATATCATATATGTCCGCAAACGCCATGAAAACTCATCCTTCCTCCCCGGAAAACATTTTCTTCCCCCTTTTGTTTCTCCCAAAGTGGGTCAGATGGAGAACATCTCCCCAGGACAGATCATTGACGAGCCCATCCGTCCAGTCAACATTCCCAGGAAAGAGAAGGATTTCCAAGGAATGCTGGAATACAAGAAGGAGGACGAGCCCAAACTGGTGAAGAATCTGATTCTGGGCAAGTATTCCCTGCGTGGGGTGACGGTCTGGCTGGGCCTTCACAGCCGCCAGTCCCCAATCTTCCCATGACCCACCCTGGCGTTTCTTGCAGGCCCCAACACATCCTGCTGCACTGCAGTGCTGAAGGGGTGCCCTGCCCACCGCTCAGGGGAGCTGCAGGGGCAGCGACTAGTCCTTGCCCTGGATTGAGTTCTCTGCTGTCATTTCTAACCCCACGCCTGTGGCTATCATCCCATTTGGGAAGGGGTTACCTCTCTTACGTTAGGGAGGCTAGATTCGTAAGTGTGTTTTGAGCCGATCTCTTTGGCGATGTAAAAGAGATTAAACTAAGGTGACCAGATGTCCTGCTTTTGGTGGGACAGTCCCAATTTTTAACAAATTGTCCCATGTCCCGTGGCATTTTAAAGAAGTCCCGATTTTTGGAAAGAATGCACGACAAGCTAGGGTATACGGTTTTCAGCTGCCATGTGGCTATTTCGCCAGGATATGAGTTTTATCAATGGAGTCCCACTTTACCAATGTTAAAATCTGGTCACCTCAGATTAAACAAGCAGGCCAGCAGAGGTGTTGGGGGAACAGATGCTAAGCCCTAGGGAGCAGGAGACAGGCTGAGACCATGACTAGCAGCGCTGTCAGGGAGAGACAGCCTTGCCTTCGAGCCAGCACCCCAAACTCAGGCTTCCTGCTACCTCAACTGTGAGAAGATAAATGACTGTCTGTTACAGCCCCCAACTGGTGGCATTTCTTATAGCAACAGAGACAAATTACGGGTAAGACAAGCCCCCCTCCGAAGCATGCTTTGAGACTAGAACGCTTCAGCCCTGGTGCACATTCGAATCACCTGGGAAGCTTTGAAAGGGGACTCTCTGTGTGCCCCACCCACCCACTAGACCAGTCCAATCAAAACTTTGCGGGAGGAGCCCGGCCTGTGTAGCTGTTTGTGTCTTTGTTTTTTCATAAACCTCTCAATAGATTCGTAAGTGTAGCCACAGTGGAACACCACTGCTCTGGGCTCTTTAAATACTTAGGTTTCCTTTTTTTTTTTTCTGACTTCTCCAGAAAAGTCTATCTCTAACGTGTCCGAGAACACAGGTTATTTAATAGAGAAGAAAAAATGCATCAAAGAAAAGGTTCCAGCCATGGAAGTCAAAGGCAGATCCATGACAGGGGGTGGTAGCATCTCAGTGCGGTGTGAGAACTCTAGGCGAGGTGTGTGTGAGCGGTGGGGAGTGAGCAGGGAGCACACAGCCCATGGCTCTGCTCTGGGAAAGCCCTTCAGACTGTGCATAGTGTTGTCCCTCAGTTGCCATGGTGACAGCCATGTGACTGCCAGTGCACCGATTTAATGTTCCCGAGTTCACAGAGTTCAACTCGGTACTGTGCGCAGGCACACACATTCAACATGACCTTCAGTTTGCAAAACTATTAAGAAGCCACCGTGTTTTACATACTAGAGCTAACAGAAGATTCATGTGCTTGATCATTTCCCAAACTCCTCCCCTGTGCCAGGCATGTTCTACTGTAGGTACTAGATAATGAGCAAAGTGAAGTCCCTGGCCCCACCCAGCACATATTCTGGGGTGTGCTTGGGCGTGGGGAGGCCAGAAAAAGACAAAACAAAAACATATAGAATAGGGGTAAAAAGTGAAGAAGGCAGGTATACTGGTTTCTCTAAAGTTCTCAGGGCAGGCCCCTTCGATAAACGATTGTGGGGCAGACACCAGAGGAAATGAGGCAACACGGCTGATGTCGGAGGAGAGGATTTTCTGTGTAGAAACAGCCAGCACATTGAGGCCTTCAGGCGAGAGCATGCCCGTGCGTTCCAACAACAACCTGTTTGACTGGTGGCCAGTGAGCTGAGGCAGGTTGAGGTGTGTGTGTAAGGGGTCAGGATCATCACAAAGGTGCTAGGAGACCCTGGTGCGGATTTTGCGTTTTCTACGTGAGTGGGATGAGGAACACCTAGAGGTTGTTCAGAGCAACAGTGACATCATCTGACCTACATTTTCTTAAAGAATCGCCCTGATTGTTGTGTGGGAACGTGCACTATTGGGGAGCAAGGAGTGGATCATGGAGACCAGTTAGAAATAGAGGCACCAGGTGATGGTGGCCTAAAGAAGCGAGTAGGATTGTTGAGAAGTAGTTGGGTTCTGTAGCTCGTTTGTAGGTTAGCCAACAGGATTTGCTGATAGATTAGATGAGGGATGTGAAAGAAAAGAGTCAAACATGAGCACAGAGTTTCCAGCCTGCAAAACTGAAAGACTGGAGACTGGAGCGGCCTATTTGATGGAGCTGGGAAACTGTCCGAAAGCAGGTTCCGTAGGCAACCGGCGTTTGGTGTGGGATAGCCTCTGGTAGATGTACCTGAGCAGGGATGGCAGAAGGCAGTCGCTGCATGAGTGTGGAGTTCCAAGGAAACGCCAGAGCAGGAGCTGTGACGCTGGAGGTCATCCCAGTACAGACACCTGAGGTTCCTAGGTCCCCAACCTCGAGAATTTCTCCGCTCAGTAAGCTATGAAGGTATCTTTTTTTAGCGTGACCTACTTCCTCGGAATAATTGAATGTTTACATGATCACCGTGTTTTTATATCTCTCAAAACATCCTCATGAAATCTTTCAACATTATATAAGTTCACTTTTCTTTTCCAGAACTGAAGCCACGTGGCGTAGCCGTCAATTTGATCCCAGGATTGCCGGCATACATCCTGTTCATGTGCGTTCGGCATGCCGACTACCTAAATGACGACCAGAAAGTGCGGTCGTTGCTGACATCAACAATTAACAGCATCAAAAAAGTATTGAAGGTCAGTTCACGGTCAACGGAATCCTCGTAGTGACGATTAATGGTGATGGGATCTGTACAGATACAGGGTTTTCCATTCTTAGACGAAAGTTTCCCGTCTTAGCTAATAACGTCCTGTGTGAGCCGCATGTGCCTTGCAACGTGAATATTTGCCTGCTTTCAATACAGGGTCCCAATTGAACAGAAATCAAGATGAATCAGGTATCCTTGCCCTGAATTATAAAGCGAATTGTTCCTTCACAGACAGAAGTCATCTGCTTTGGGGTTCTGCCTGAATCAGAATGAAAACTATTCAGAGGAGTCAGTGTCAGCAATCTATAGGGAACATGGTGTCATCACAGTAAATAGTAGACGGGCCCCATAAACCAGGCAGCCTCCTGGAGCCCATTCACAGGAAAAGGAATGGCTGATCAAACCCGGAACGTCTTTCTTCCATCTGTGCTCCGTATTCTTCTCCAGCTCCCCCCCAAATGTTCCTTGTTACCGGAAGTGCCTGGTACCACGTGAAAAACAAAACACGGGTCTTCAAGGAAAGAGGCCCGTTATCTAACAGAGCAGAAGAGCCCACACCATCGCTGAGTCATGCTGCATAATCCACCTTGTGACGCTTAGCACAGCGAAGGAGTGTGGTGCTTCGTTGCCACCCGAGTGTTTCTGCGAGGAGCTGAGCTAACGTGTGCTCGGGAGCCCACCCCAGGCGAACCTTGAGGCTGGAGCTAGGTGGAGAGCTGGGTGGCTATGCCCAGTAGGCTGCCTCCCTCTGAGGCCTTCCGTGAACTTTCCCTAAGTGCTGGTTCGCAGTCAGTCCTGTTGTGCAGGCACACGCTCTGTGTAACTGCACTGCACGGGCCGCGACTAAACCACAGTGTTTCTGATACTTTGCCAGTAAAAGCGGATGGGCGTCTTCCCAATGAACTGGTTCAATTTTTTATGTTTTAATGCTATAGTGCACTTAACGTGTACGTTTTGTGACCTCTGAAGTCAACTCCTACCCCAAAAGACAAGAAAAACCAAAGCGTCGAGTTTTCCCCGCTCTGATCTTCGTTGAAGACGGCATCGATGTGGTGGGATCATTGGGCTAACTTGTCTCAAGACTTAAAAGCCATGACTCCTAGACCGTTCTCAGCACGGCTCTGGCACCACTTAGAACGTGCATTTGGCTGGAGGGGCTTGGTGTCTTGCATCCCTGTTTTGGTTTTAGCGACAGATTTTCCTCACCTGGCCTGGAAAGCAGCAGACACAGCCAACTGTATATAGAAAATGCGTGATCGTTTTTATAACCAGCAAGTCATTTTTATTTAGATAGCTTTGCATGGATCCTAACGGCTTTCCCTCCGACATAAGAAAAAAATAAAATTGATGTATAATTTTGACCAAATTTAGTTTGTTCACTGTAAAAAGCATTATTGTGGCAAATTTAATGTAGTGACTCTAATCGGCATTCAGTTTTTAGGTTTCTTTTTTAATCACTGAAAATGACCTTTTTTTCCCCTCCCCCTTGGTTCCCTTACTATTTTTCTTAAATTAAAAAAACAAAAAACTCCCTCGCTGACACAAATAAATTATATTGCGTAGTATTTCAGTCAGCTCGTATAGGACTTCTGTCATGGAGGCCACGTGTCTTACCCTATTGTTCAGCAGAAGACCCCGAGGCGCAGGGATGGTAAGTCGCTTCCTCTGGGCTACGCCCCTAGTGAGTGGCAAGCATTTCTGAGTTTAGATGAGCGGAGTCTTGGTGATTTTTTTTTTCCACTTAAAGGGAAATTAACATCAACCGAATGAGTGGGTATCACTTGTCTACTGGCAAGAGACCGGATGCCCAGCAAAATAGCGAGCAAACAAACCACGAGCCCGGTGCCTGGAGTTCTGTCCGCAACGAGGTGCCTTTTGCACCTGCCGTGTGATTTATTTTTGCGAGGGTTTCCAAGGGCGGCCGACAGAATGGGCTTTTGGTGTCTGTTTAGAGTTTTTTCTTCGTCTTCTTCATTTTATTTCCCTAAGGAAAAAAAGCAAATTTCGACTTACTCTCTGTTTCAGAAACGAGGGGACGATTTTGAGACTGTCTCCTTCTGGCTTTCCAACACCTGCCGATTTCTGCACTGCTTGAAGCAGTACAGCGGAGAAGAGGTGAGAAGACCCTGCGCCTCAGCCCGCATTCTGCACTTCCCCTGCCCTGTTTTAGGACAGGGGCCACATGCTGAGAGGTTGAACTGTTTCCTATTTCAGTGACCCTAGCTCAGAGGTGGCATCAAAGTCCATAGCTCCGTTCGATCTCCATTTTCTCCGCCGTCACTGCGGAGTGGGGAGAAACAGCGCTTTGCCTCTGTGAATCTGTGTACTGCGGACCTGCAGGAGAGAGGAGGTGGACACTGGTCACTGAGAAGTGACGGAGTGAAGCTGTGGGTCACTATGATGAAGTGGGCTTAACAAAATAACAGTCCAGAAATACTGACCCAATTTGAAGAAACGAATTGATTTAGGCTTGCCACCTGTGTTAAAGGTGATCTTTTGGGAGATTGATTTCCCCCAAAATCTTTATTGATTGTGTTTGTCATAGTGTCTTCATCAGTGGTTTAATAGACTTCAAAAATGATGTAGAACGTTAGTAATGACTTTATATTGGCTCGGTATGTGCCTAACAGCATTTAGTACACAAATTTGCCATTTAATTCTTACCACGTCTCTGTGAAGTAGGACTCATTAGCCCGGTTTTACAAATGAGACAATTGAAGCTCAACAGTGTCTATCAATTTTCCCAAAGCGACTGAGCCAGAAAGTGCAGATTCTGAGTCTGTCTGCCGCTGAGTCCGAGCCCCTACTCTGTCTGCCTTCCCCGAACTCAGCACAGGCAGGCAGAGAAGCTGAGTGCCCAGCTTATGGGGGAAAGGACTGTCCTGGCAAACGAGAAATGCAAAGGCAGCAAGGTGGAGTCCCTGAGCAGACAGGGCTAGCAGACCAGAATCCCCATGGGACCGCCAAGGATGGATGTCCTGTCAGGACATTGAGTAGGTTGTAGGGCGGCAGATGCTTATATATAGGCAGAATCCATCATATAAGCTTCTATCAGGCAGTGTGAAATTAACAGTGTTAAAGTGCCGAGTGACTGGGTAAAAGGGCTCTCTATTTTTAACACACTGCCCAAAGGATTCCGACTCAAATTTAGGTGTGGATCCCATGACGTGTAGTGAGTGTTTGATTAGCTTGCCAATCTTTGGAGAACTTGCTCTATTTTAAGATGATTATGCCCCTTGGGCACAGTTTTTTTTTTTTTTTAATCATTCAATTTATTTTATTTTATTCCTAATTAAATAGAAACAGAAACAAAGCTAAAAGCCAACATAGATCAGATAGGTATTTCCATTTGAAGACAAAGTTTAGTAATATCTGATTTTAGTTTCCTTTTTTGTTTATTTAATGTTCTTGCATTCAGTGTTCTTTTTTTTTTTTTTTAACATTTTATTAGGGGCTCATACAACTGTTATCCCAATCCACACACACATCAGTTGGGGCACAGTTTTTTATGAACTACAGTGAACCCTCGTTTATCGCGGTCAATCAGTTCTAGACCCTACCGTGATAAATGAAATTCCACGAAGTAGGATTCCTTATTTGTAAATCAAATATTTTCGTAGTTAGAGCATAGAGGACATGAAAAAACACCCTTTAGTCACTATTACACTCATATTACCCAATTTATTAAACGAAAAAGGGAAAATACAGTAAAACATTTTGGATGTTACAATTGTCATTTATTATTTATTATATTATTTATGGCATCAAGCGTGTACAGTATGAGCCAATCAGTGGCAGTAATGACAGAGCATGCGCTGTTACGCAAAAACCGCGATAGAGTGAAGCCGCGGAAGTCGGAGCGTGAAGTGGTGAGGGTTCACTGTAGACTATTTAAAGGCTGAGGTGAAGGCATTAGTACAGCAGATCATTTCATGTTTGTCTGTAAACCTGCCGGTTCATAAGTAAAAGCATTCATTCGTTTTGTTTGTTTGGTTTAGAGTTTTTTGTGTGTTTTGTTTTTGTTTTTTGGGTGTGTGTATGTGTGTGTGTTGGGGATTTCTTAGTTAAGTTTCCCCAGCTTGTTTCTTGTCATCGCTATTAGAAAAGGCTCAAGCCCTAGCTTGGGAAGTTCAGGTATGACTGAAAGGTAGTAGGGAGTGGAAGGGGAATCTCTGACGGACGCCAGCATTTGAGGGTGTCTCTCCTGGCGTTGCTGTGGGAGTTGGGTGGTCTGGGAACACCGGACGGGAGGAGCCTTTAGTAAGAGGTGTTGGCAGAGACCTGGCTCAGGGAGGTTCCTAACGGGGAAAGACAGAGAACAAACTTCACCCTCCTTGGAGAGATTTGGAAAGAGCACGGGGTGGTGGATCAACCTGAAGAGTGTTCAACGGGAGAGACGCTCGCTCGGCTCACGCCTAGCCTTCTTAACTCTGCCTTACGACCCTAGGGCTTTATGAAGCACAACACGTCTCGCCAGAACGAACACTGCCTCACCAATTTCGACCTGGCTGAGTACCGGCAGGTGCTGAGTGACCTGGCCATTCAGATCTACCAGCAGCTCGTGAGGGTGTTAGAGAACATCCTGCAGCCGATGATTGGTAAGCCCATGGCCCTGACGCGCTGCAGTCTGCCCATGGGAAAGGGCCTCCAGCAGCACATGTTTGCGGAGCCAATGTATTCCCATAGGGAGGAGCCAGGGTGGTGCAGTGGGTTATGCATTGGAGTGCGAACCGCAAGGTCAGTGGTTCAAACCCACCGGCTGCTCCTCAGGGGAAAGATGAGGCTCCATAAAGATTTCCAGTTTGGGGAGACCCTGTGGAGCAGTTCTGCTCTATTTCACGGGGAGCTGGAATTAACTCAATGGCTATGGGTTTGTGTTTGGTTTCATGCTGGACAACATAAAGTATTAAGGGAACTCGGGTGGAAGATGGGCCTAAAAGCTGCTGAGAACTCCCAGAAACTCAGGCATGACCAACAGGGGATGCATCAAAATCTCAACTTCCACGTGCCTCCCTCCTGTATCAAACCCACCACCACTGAGTCGATTCTGATGCTTAGCGACCCTTCTAGCAACCGCCTAGAACTGCCCATGGGGGTTCCCACACTGGAACGCCTTACGGCAGTAGAAAGCCTTCTCACTGTCCCACGGACACTTGGTAGTTTCCAACTGCTGGCCTTGTAGTTAGCAACCCAGTGCACCACCACTATGCCACAAGGAGGCCCCTATTTTCAGATTAGGCTGTGCTTTATGCTCCGCAGCGGATCGCACTCCTTTTTTTCCTTTTTTTAAAGGTTTGAACAGAATGAGTGAGTTTATTGAAGGGAATGCTTTGGAGAAGCGGCATTTCATTTTTAACTGTGGTCTCTGGGAGGGCACTAGCGTAGGCTTCCTGTTGTGGAAGTTGTTGTCCTCAGGTGCCATGGCGACCGTGGGCACAGCCCAAGGGAGCCCGCCCGGTCCTGCACCGCCCTCACGTGGTGGGGCCCGGTGTTGCAGCCGCGTGTCCATCTGTCTTGCCGAGGCTCTTCCTCTTGTCGGCTGCCCCTCCTGTTCTAAGGACTGGTCTTTCCTGACAGCGCGTCCGAATTCCCAGGCCTGAGCCTCACCTTCCTTTCCTTCAAGGAGCATTCTGGCTGTGCTTCCCAAGTCAGAGTTGTTGGTTCTCCGACGGCCCGCGGGACTGTCAGTGCCCTTCCCTTTCAGAAGCGCCTATTCTCCTTACGTCTTTCGGAGTGAGTGCGCAACTTCCTCCTGCAGATGAGGTGACTGAAGAATGCTCTGGCTGGGGTCCGGCACACCTTAGTCCTCCAAGTCACCCCCTTGCTTAAGGAGGTCCTGGGCCGCAGATTTACCCTGTGCAATGCATCATTTGATCGCTTCACGGCTGCTTCCTCGGCCCCCATGTAAACTGTGGGGTTAGGAATGTGTGCACTGTGCCCTAGAGTGAACTAGCTGCCGGAGAAAACGAAGCAAAACAGACCTGTTGCTGGGTCGGTCGGCACTTCGGCTCCATAGGTGTGCCTGGCCACCGCCTTCCCGGAAGCAGCTCTCCAGGCCCATCTGTGGAGAAGATGCTCCACGCTGGGAATGGCTCAAGGCAATTTGGCTAACGGAGCCGAGCCCTATGTTCAGGACAGCTGCTGCGCGCCTGCGGGGTCGATGTGACTATCTGTGTGCTCAGCTAATTGTGTGACGCCACGCGCCTCTCCCGAAATGCGTGCACTTGCTCTGGGTGTTAATTTATGTACTGTATGATCCGCCCATGCAGTGAATGTGAAAGGAGGTCAGAACGTGCATGTGAAAGGAGGTCAGACGTATGAGATGGGGGGTTGTTGGCAGAGCCACACTGCAGGCTGTTAATTCGGAATACATTGAGTTAAAAGAAACATTTTTTTTAAGTTACCAATTTCTTATGATCAGGCAAATTATCAGCAGGCTCTTCATGCTAATCCCAACCCCTTACCTTCCCAGCCACCCTTTCCCAACCCCAGCCCGGTGCACCCCACAACATCATCATTTCCCTCCTGTGGGCTCGCAGTGTTTCATTGCCCATCCTAGACCCACAATTAAACAAGGAAGAACGTGAAAAGCTGGAGGAGATGGCGATGCTTTTTAAAACATTGTCTCCCCCAGATGAATTTAAAGCAATACACGTCAGCAAAATGCAAGCAGGAACACAGGTGTAAAGCAGGCCAGCGTCAGCTGATCTTTCTTCTTCTGGACACACACACACACACACACACACACACACACACACGCATGCGTGCACCCGCACGTGCATTTTCAACATCTAAACAAGACTCTTACCTCTCAGATCTCATCTCATTGCCACTGAACCGATGCCGACTCTCAGTGACCCTACAGGGCAGGGTAGAACTGCCGCGGAGCTTCCCTGGTCTGTATGTTTATGGCAATAAAAAGGCCCATCAGAGAGGCTGGTGGTTTCAAACTGTGGACCTTTTGGATCACAGCTCATCTCGTAACCATTGTGCTACCAAGGCTCATTCAAACAGCCCATCCTAAACCCCTACCACCATCTCCCAGTCACTTCACAGTAGTCATGACAACAACCACGAGGACAAAGCCAGTGTGACGTTCCATGGACGTGGCGTTCAGGATTAGGACCGTGAGTTGGGCATGACTCCTGCTCTGCCAGCAGTGGGCATCCTGAAAGCATCCTACAAGGGGCCTTGCCCACATGCTGTGGGCACACAGCAGAGGAGCAGCAGCTGGGCCACAGATGCGAAGGCCGATTCCTGGGAGGCTGAAGCTAGCCCAAAGCCAACTGCCAGGGGGGAGCCTAGGACGGGAGCCCGATCACCAGGCCACACTCATGTGCTCTCCCAAGACCTGTCCACTCTCAGGATCTTGCCCTTCTTGCTCTTTGATGGGTCTGTCTCTGGGGTCCAAATACCTTTGATGCACCTCTCTCAAAACCCCAACTAAGACACCATATGTGTGCTATTGAAAGACCTCTTGTTGTGGAAACTCCACCAAATGCATACTTTGCATTTCGTAGTGACTTTCCTACGTAAGAGTCATTCCTTCACTCCTATTTAAAATCCAGAAGCCCTCATCCTGTGACATGCCTCGTCCCCTATCGGTCCCCTATTTTCCGAGACTCCGGATGTATGTGTGTAGGTGAGGGTGGCCGTGCGCGCACATGACAACGGGCTTTAACCGTGGACCTCTCCTCAGTCTCAGGCATGCTGGAGCACGAGACGATTCAGGGCATGTCCGGCGTGAAGCCCACGGGGCTGCGGAAGCGGACCTCGAGCATCGCGGACGAGGGCGCCTACACACTGGACTCCATCCTCCAGCAGCTCGGCTCCTTCCACTCGGTCATGTGCCAGCACGGCATGGACCCCGAGCTGATCAAGCAGGTGGTCAAGCAGATGTTCTACATCGTGGGGGCCATCACCCTGAACAACCTGCTTCTGCGGAAGGACATGTGCTCCTGGAGCAAAGGCATGCAGATCAGGTGAGCCAGTGTCCGCCCCCCTGCCGGCCTCGGGGGGCGGACAGCCGGCTACTGGCTGCACGTCAGTGCACCTGCAGTCCACTGCCCGGCAGCGGAGGAAGACCTGGCTTGGCGTCACTTTCTCTGGTCCTGACAGGGCCCCTCTAGCTCTTTTCGGCAGTTACTCCTTGCCCGGGCCTGCCAATGGGCTCTTCTCTTTGCTCGGTGGGAAACCTTGCACCCCTGAGAAGCAGACTTGTGCCGGTGGCGGGAAAATGCACTGGGATAACTGCTTCCCGCCTTTGGGTGCTGCAGGTTATCAAGTAGCCAAACATCAAACTATCACAATGCCTAGTACATCGTGACAGAATGACTCTTTGTACCTATGGCAATAAGAACGAAGTTAATCCCTGCTTAACTAGCACTTAAAATATGCCCTCTCTGGTTTTTTTTCTCAGTAAACCAAACCAAACTCAATGACAATCAAGCCCCTTTTTGACTGACAGTGACCCTAAAGGACAAGGTGGACCTGCTCCTGTGGGTTTCTGAGATGGTGACTCCTGACAGAAGTAGAAAGCCCTATCTCTCCCACAGAGCAGCTGGGGTGGGGGGTGGCACTGCTGCTGTACTCAGTTGCCTGCCCGACTCCTCCTCCCAAGCATAACCTCATTATGATCATTTATCATTTTATTTTTGCAAATACTTCATTTAAAACAGCTAGAATAATCGCCAGGAG